TCACAGCCCCAGTCACAGCCTCCTACCAGGGCAGCACCTCCCTGGCGCTCATTTGGCCTCCTTTGTCAGGTCCCAGGCCGCTGGCAGGCTCTGCGCCAGTCACCATCCCGGGCTCCCTGCCTCGCTCACCATCCCTGCAGTCATCCTCATCCCTGTCTACCTCCCCGCTCAGCTCACTCTCCCAGTCGCTGCCAGGGCCACTTGTCTCCTCGGCCATGACGCCCCCCCAGCAGCCGCTGCCCCTCAGGTCAGAGCCGGCCGTACTGGGCTCCGCAGCCTCGTCCTACGGCTCCTTAGGTGAGTGCCCCCTGCCCCACCATCACTCCCGCTGGCTCTGGTGCTTGGAGTATGTCTCAGGTGCTCTTGACCACCGGGCACCCCACCTGCCTGGAGGGGGCAGTGCCACACTCGACCCACACCATGCAGGAGACTAAACCAGCGTGGCGTGCTGGTAGCTGCTTGCGTGGGCTGCGTGCCGGTGGGTGGGCTCACTCAGGAGGGACCTGCTGCCCCCGGTGGTGGGGGTCTGCTGCAGAGCTGGGATTGAGTCCCTAGGAGGTGGGTCCCTGACAACAGCCCTGGGAACCCCCTCACCTCTCCATGAAGAGGGATATGTCCTGCGGACCTGCCACATTTTAAAAGAACACAGTTTGAGATGAGGTCTCGCCATGTTGTCCAGGCTGGCCTCAAACTCAGGGATCCTCCTGTCTGGGTCTCCAAGTAGAGCGTGGGTGTCTAAGTGGCTTGGTCCCCCTTTCTGATGTCACACGAGTAGCATATGTGGCCCAGGGAAATAGAAGCTCCTTGGTCAGGTCTGCACATGGAGTGCTTGGAGAATGGCTGCCCCATATGCTGTCCACAGGAGCCCTGAACTAAGTTCCTTTCCTGTCTCGTCTCCCGAGGGATGGGGCTGTGCCTCAGTGGCAGAGCTCTTGCTGAGCATGCTAAGGCCCTGGGTTCAACCCCCAGCTCCACAAAAAGACTCCCCAAGGGGTTAGGAAGCAGGCCTGCTGGAAAGGCCTGGTGTGACCAGCACTGTGGCCTATGCCAGTTCCAGAATCTGTCCTGAGCTGGTGGAACCTCCCCTGGGGGAGCTAGTCCTGGAACTGGGCTCTGTGAGGGCAGGAGCACACACAGAACCTCCCAGGTCTCTGCACAGCACCATTGTCTCCATACCAGGTCTGAATGGTGTTCCTGGGAGCATCTGGGACTTTGTCTCTGGCAGCTTCTCTCCCAGTCCATCCCCCATCCTGAACACTGTCCCTGCCTCAAGTGCAAGTCCACACAGTGCGGAGCTGGCCCGGGTCAGGCGGCAGCTGGATGAGGCCAAGAGGAAGATCAGGCAGTGGGAGGAGTCTTGGCAGCAGGTGAAGCAGGTGAGGCAGTAGGCACTTGGGCGGGGCCCAGCCATGTGGGTGAGGCAGTGGGCACCTGGGCAGAGCTCACCCTGCTGCCTCCACCCATCCTTGGGTTTCAGGCCTGTGACGCCTGGCAGCGAGAGGCTCGGGAGGCTCAGGAGCGGGCCCGCATGGCGGACAGCGACCGGCAGCTGGCCCTGCGGAGGAAGGAGGAGGTGGAGGCCCAGGTCCAGCGGCTGCAGGAAGAGCTCGAGGGCCTGGGCCTGTCCTCACTGCCTGGGCTGCGAGGCTGTGGTGACGTGGGTGCCATCCCTCTGCCCAAGCTGCACTCCCTGCAGAGCCAGCTGCGCCTGGATTTGGAAGCTGTTGACGGGGTGAGTGCTGGGGTGTGGCAGTGCCAGGAGCTGTGTTCTTGGAGGGATGGGGGCCTGCCTGGCGAGGGTCTGGTGCTACTTCTGCCCCCCGCCCCGCCCCGCCCTGCCCTGCCCTGGGTACCTCCTTTCCCGCCAGGCTGGCCCCTGCCCTTCACCTTCATGCTCTTCCCCTGCTTCTAAGTGCTGGCAAGCAGGAAGCTGTGCCCTCCGTGGAGAAGGTGGGCCTGTCCACCTCAGGGGGCAATGGGAACTCTGGGCCCTTCCTAGGAGTGATCACACCAGGTCCCTGGGCCCCACCTTTTATCCCGCCTTTTTGGCATAGCACAAAACTCACCCATTCAGCGTGGCTGGAAGCCCCTTTCACACCAGGTCATCTTGTGGAGCCTCTGGCAGGTTCTGTGGCCCTGCTTCCCCCTCCAACCGTGGCCAAGGCCACAGCTTGCACCAGTCTGGCTGCATCCACTTGGTCAAGGGTCCTGCTTGGCCCACATACTGAATACCAAGCTGCTGCACCTAGGCCCAGTCGTCGTCTTAGCCAATCCCTCCCCTGTAGCTGTAAGTGGCTCAGGACCGGCTGGCGGCTCCCCTTTGTGGGGCCCCTGGCCAGGTGTCCGCTCAGCCCTGATGTTCTGGGCACCTCTGATCCTGAAGCCGCAGCTGCTGTGTCTTCCTGGGATGCTGCCCTCTGCCTGGAAGACCCTGGGCCCACTGGGCTCCACTGGGCAGGTGGCCTCAGGCTGAACCAGCCGTTCCTTCTCCACAGGTGATCCTCCAGCTCCAGGCCAAGCAATGTGTGGCCTGCCAAGAGCAGGCCCCTAGCACCGTCTTACAGCCCTGCCAGCACCGTGTCCTGTGCGAGCCGTGTGCAGCCAGTGCGCCTGAGTGCCCCTGCTGTGAGGGTCAGCCCCTTCCCTGGTGACCAGAGGTGGGGCCTCATTCCCTCCAGGGCATGGGTGCAAAAAGACTGCAGAGTGCCACAGTCACGTCTGGTGCCACCATCAGGACGCAAGTCCATGCCTGTTGCTACCAATGGCCTTTGTGGCACTTTTATCACCCACCACATCCCACTGGTGTCTTCAAGGTATTCTCCAAACCCTAAAGCACCGCAGAACCCACTTCCTGTCCCCGTGGTAAGTACCATGGAGGCCAGGTTCAGTGGCACGGTCCTGATACTGCAGTGGCCAGGCCACTGGGGGGTCTCTTCAAAGCACTTTGTAAACCGAGGAATTTAGTTTTAAATCTTATAAGCTGCTTTCTAGGTCCATGTTTTTTAATATATGATAACATGAAGCTTTATGTGTACTGTGAACTTGAACTTTCCCATCAGTTGCTGTCAACTCATAGTGTGGTGAATATATTAGATTTCATATTCTGAACTACTTATGAAATGAACATTTATCTAGTAGTAATGCCAACCTAGGATTTTACATTTTCAAATCAAGTGCAAACATAGTATTTATAAGCAGAGTGATTATTGAGATGCGCGTTTGGATGTTCTCGACTTTACCTAAGGAGCTCTTTCCCGAAGTGTGCAGGGCATGTGCACCTGGCTTTGTTCTGGCACAGAATAGACCCAAGCACTCGGGCCCCTTTAAGTGCCTGTGCCTTGCACAACAAGTGAAGGAATCGGTTCCTTTGGTTTTTGTCTTCTCCTGGAGGCTCTGAGGGCCAGTGTGGTCTCAGGAGTGTGCACCAGAAGGGGTGGATGTTAGGACTCTCAGATCCATGCTGTAGACAGCTGTGTTCCTGTGGAGCTTCTCAGATGTCTGGGGCACCCTGGTTCTTCTTGAATTGGGAAACCTGCACCTCCCACACTGCAACTGCCCACAACTCTTGCTGACCTGACTCGAGAGACTGCAGTGGCAGTGCATGGTGTCCAGGGTGATGGCATTGGTGACAGTCAATTGAGTCATACATCAGTTGTGATTAGAGCTCATCCATGTGACCAGCAAGGTGCCTCTGTGGCCCGGGGCCCCAGCTCTGCCATGCTGCCCCTGCTCATCAGCTCCTGGGGCCACAGTGGTGCCAGGCAGCCTGGCCTCAGACTGTGGCAGGAATGCTGCTAAGAACAGTCTGAGGTGCCTGGGGAGAGAAGAGAAGTCTGCCGTGTTTGCAGACCTCACCTGGGTGAGCAGAGGGACATCTTTCAGGTGCACTGTGGGCTGGGTGCCTCCTCCCAGGGCTTTGCCAAAGACTTTAAGTAGCATTTTCTAAAGTGCAAAGTGACTAGGTAAACATTTTCATCAGTGACCAAATTAGAATGTATTTAATACAGTAGACTACTTAAAAGCAATTTCTAATATAAGACAAACCGATAGAGAGATTCTGTCATTTCAAAGGAAGTGAATCCGTGACGTCCCACAGCTAGTCCACTACAGAAGGTACCTATGGACGTGGGTTAGTGGCGCTCCTGTTTCTTATCAGTGATGACCTGTTAGCTCAGTACCTAGACATTACATATATTTTGTGCTACTGTTTTTGCTGTTTATTTTTGTTAATATTTATGCACTTGTTTCCATTTTGGGCCTTTGGTCTTTTTGGAGATAACAAGACAAAATTTATTACTGGTGTCTAGCCTAAACATTTTCAAATCATAGACCTAAAACTCAGCTGTTTTTAATGGTTTATCTGTAATAAGCTACTCCGGCCAGCTCTTTCTGTGGAATTTGGCCAGTGTTCTCGTGAGTCTCCAGTGCTGCTTCTGGGGTGGGGATGGTGGCAGAGGTGAGGGGCCACAAGGCAACAGCTAGGACAGCAATGGTGCTGGCCTCTGTGCACTGGCTCTTCTGGAATCAGGAGGGCACTGGAAATAGGTATGCAACAAGAATTGCCCAGGAGTGGGTCTGCAGTGCAGGATCCCAGGATGCTACCCACTGATCTGTTCTGGGCGCCCAAGAGCACAGCAGTTGGGGAGGCTCAGGGTCCCGTGGGCAGGTGATGGCGGTGGGGTCCTGGGCTAGGGGTGCTGAAGCCCTGTGGTGACTCTGTGCTGGTGTTCCTGATGTCTGTCACCCTCTAGTGTTCAATCAGTGTCCCACACTGACTGACTAGCCATGGAGGGGTGCAGGGTGTGGATGCTCCCTGTGGTGTGTCCAGCACTTAGCTGAATGTGCTGAGTCGGATTATCCTAACCCAGAAGGTCGTATTTATAATGTGTGATCATTTACTTGTAGAAGACCATTTAAAATTGTTAACATCTGTTTAAATTTTTTTACACTATATGCAATGGTTTACAGAACTCATGGAATTATTTTTATCAGTATGGGAATTAATTAAAACTTTGAATCTTTATTTTGTCTGTGTTTCTCAGCACAATGCCTGGCCAGCAGGTCCTCATGGGTGCCTCTGCCTGGTGGATAGGCTCGGGGGAGCCTCATCTTCCCTGCATAGGTGGGCTCCAGGGCTCTGCCTGCCTGCTGCAGGACACAGAGGCTCTGCACTGTCTCCTCCTGCCCACGTGGCTGCCCAGGTCAGGAGGTGTTCCCACGCAGTCCTGGATCACCTCTCAGCTGCTCTGAGACCCCGTCTGTGGGAGAGTGCTGGCCCAGGTGCTCAGAGTGGGAGGTTTCTGCAAGACACCAGGCAGGCGGTCAGGTCTTGCCCCACGGGCAGCAGACCTGAGGCGGGCTGGGGGCCCTGGCCCTGGCTGACCTGTGGGCTTGGCGTGGGGGATGTGGTGCTGGCTCAGCAGACTGGCAAGCCTCTTTATCTCCTTTGACAGTTCTGAGTGTGCCTGGAACAAGAGTTCCAGTGACAGGTGAGACCCCTGTGGGAGACACCAAGACTAGGAACCCTGCCCTTTCTCTCTACCTTCTTACAGTTGTCCAGGGTCTCAAACCCCAGGCCTGTTGTCCCTCCTTCTTGCTGGGTGGGTTCCTTTTCTCCTGGACCCTTTAAGTAGCCAGCATCCTCAAAAAGTGCCCTCAGCGATTTCTCATAGCCCTGAAGGTGGAGGAAAGAGATGGAGCACCGATTGGGGGCCAGCAGGGGGACCCACTGAGCCTCACTCACCTGTGGAGTGATCAGGTCATCAGCCAGTTCCTGCTCCACCTGTCCCCACCGCTGCTGCAGGGCCTCTGGCAGGGTCGGGTACACTGAGAACCCAACAGAAGCCAGGCTCAGCTGAGTCCCCATGCCCCAGCCCATCCCCCATCCTGAGTCCTACCTAACAAAGAATGGGGGTGGCAGACAAGGGGGGTCTCAAAGGTCAACGCATAGATGCAGGTGCTTGGCTCAGACACATGGGCCAGTCGGTTGCTCTTCCCACAGGTAAGCTCCACCTGGGGAGGGAACCTCAGTGGGTGGCTGAGGGAGGACTAGGCCCTCTACCTGGGTACCCGCTCAAGCCCCACCTTGCTCTGCCGGCTCCGGGAGCGGCAGGAGTCACCGTCCCGCATCCACATGCCTGTGAAGGTGTTGTTGGTGATCTCCCACTCCTGCCAGATGCTGGGGAGGAGGGAGCATGTGAGGCAGGGGTGGGGACAGGGCAGGGCAGAGCCTCCCCATCCTCTGCCTTGCTCACCCGAGGATCCCACTGTAGGCGTTCCAGCGGAAGGTCTGCTCATGCTGGGTCACGTTGTGGAATGGGCAGAATTCATACTTGTACCTGGGGGCAGAGGGGGTTTGGGATCCTCGGGTCTGCAACACCCACCCCCTGCAGGCCTACCGGTACTCACGTGGACTCCACCAGGCTGAAGCACTTGCCAGAGAGTCTGAAGAGATGCGCAGGCCCTGGAGAAGGAGAGGGCTACGTGAGTCCAGCACAGACCCGACACCCACCAAGCCAGGGGACACAGGCAAGGAGACCAGCAAGCACCAATCTCCTTTCCCCATAGAGCCAGGGACAGCCTCCAGGTTGCCACCAACAAAAAGCACCATTAAGCCCGCCACACAGGCTCTGTGATGTCCACGTCTCTGTAGAGACAGCTGTGCTGTGCCCAACGCCACTCTTAGCAGGGACCGTACGCCCATGGCTGCCCAAAGAGTCACCAGGTAGGACTGGGAAACAAGCCTTGGTGTGCAGGACTTGAAGGGCAGGTGCAGGCTCAGGAAGATAGGAGGGCCAGTCCACAGAGATGGGCAGAGCTTTCTCAAAGGACCAATTTTCAACAACAGAAATCACGAGGCATACAAAGAAACAAGAAAACGACCACCTAAAAGAAAATTCTACCAGAAGAAAATGGAGTGGGCTGGGGTATGGCTAAGTAGTAGTGTGTGCCCCTTCATCCTGGGTTCCCTCTGTGCACAAGGAACTGCATCTTGGCGAGAAGTTGCTGCCAAAAAGGAGAAAGCAACTAAGGTGCACACCTGGCTTTCTGTCCCTCATTTTTTAGGTGCTGCAGCAGTGGCCTCTCCCGCCAGACAGGATCTCCCACTCCTGGGCTCCAGTGGTCCTCCTGCCTCAGCCTCCAGAGCAGCTGGGATGTGTGTGTGCACCACTGTGTTAGCCTATAGCGACACATTTTATCACTACCATGGAGGTTACATAGAACACCCTCGAGTCATACACATCAACTGTTTTGGTCCTGGGGATTAAACCCAAAGGTGCTCTATCACTGAGCTACGTCCTCAGCACTTATTTTTCATTTTGACACAGGATCTTTGTAAGCTGCCGAGGCTAACCTCAAACTTAGAATCCTCTTGCCTCAGTTTCCCAAGTCACTGGGATCATGGGTGTGCACCACACACGGCTATAAATCTGACTTGAATTTGCACCAACTCCACCAACTCAACTTTACTTACAAACAGGAGCTACTCTTGCACAGGTCCATCAGGCCCGGCTCAGCCACCTATGTTACAGCTCACGTCTCGACTTATGCTCACAGACGTATAATTAGTTTTTATGCATTTGTTTTCTAATTATACAAAACAGAGGACAGCCTGGGCCTGTTTGCCCGTGTACCTACCTCTAGTGGAGGACTTCAGCCTTCACCAGTTACTGGCCAGGGCCTCTACTTTCAGCCAATAGGTTCCATGTGGCATTTCTGCTAAGGTGGGTCAACTAATAACAAAACCCCAGGGTGCTGCTTATCTAGGAATGTGTCCACCCTCTTTTGGTGGGGGTGCTGAAGATTGAACTCGGGCGTCAAGCATATATTCTGGAGCTTTGATGCCTTAAGAGACTTTTTTAGCTCCAAAGACAAATAGATTGAAAGTGCAGGGATGGGGAAGACATGGAGCTGGGTGGCTGCACTGACTACCTCAGAAACTGCTAAACAACACTGCATGTGGACCCAGAGTCAGCTCGCCAAGCTGTGGCGCTGGGGCTGGTGGGACGAAGGGGAGGCAGAGTTCCACCACCAGGCTTGGAGACACCATTCTTCTACCTTTATTTTTCTTGCAGGGAGGTATTGGGCATTGACCTTGGAGCTGTGACCTAGCCCCAGTCCTTTTGCTTATTTTGAGACAGTTGTTGAGGTTGGCCTTGAATTTGCAATCCTCCTTCCCCAGCCTTCCAAGGGATGACAGGCATGTAGCACAACACCCAGCAATATTCCACTTCTAAGGGACGTGAACCACACTGTGAACCAGTGGACCTCAGCCGTGTGCACAGTTTTTCAAGAACAAGCTGCATGTCCCACCACAAAGCCAGCGCTATTCCACTTGGACTGCAACTAGAAATCAAGAGCAGAAGGCTGGACAGTCAACGCTGCTTCCTCTGCAGTGCCGGGTTTGCCTGAGATGTGCTAGGTACCCACTCGACCACTTTGCTATCCCCACTGAAAACCGTCGGCACATTATTATGCAGTGGGTCACAGAAGATGAGACAAAGATACCAGAACCTACAGGAGGCACCTATGGGATGCAGCAGAAGTAGTAAGACAGAGACAACTGCAGAGCTACGGCCAGAAAGCAAAGTGAGCCAGGCACGTTGGCACAGGCCTATGATCCCAGTGGCGCAGGAGGATTGCAAGTTCAAAGCCAGCCTTAGCAAGTCAGTGAGACCCTGTCTCTAAATAAAGATAGGAAAGGGCTGGGGATGTGGCTCAGTGGCTGAGCACACCCTGGGTTCAATCCCTGGTACCAAAAACAAAACAAAAGGGCTGGGATGTAGCTCAGTGGCAAAGCGTCTGCCTTGCATTCGCAAAGCCCTGGGTTCGACCCCCAGTTCCAAAAAAGACAAAAAAAAAAAGAACCCCACCAAAAAAAAAAAAATAAGATTAAAAAAAAAACAAAACAAAAACCCCTCATACTGACTTCACATGCCTAGAGCAATTCGAAAAAGAAAAGCAAATTAAATCCTCAGGAAGCAGAGGGAAGGAAATAATAAAGATCAAAGCAGAGCTAAGTGAAATACAAAAAAATAAACCAAAAGTTAGTTCTTTTGGAAAAAGTCAACAAAACTGACAAAGCTTTAGCTAGAATGAAACAAAGGGAAGCCTCAAATCCTTCAAACCAGAAGTGGAAGTTGAGCTATGCTACCAAATGCACAAACAGAACAGGGTTGTGTGAGAGGATACTCTAGACAGTAACACAGCAGCATACACCAACCCAGGGGACTGCACTGGGGACACCCTGGCTGGTAAGGAGATAGGTGACCAGACTTCTAAAACACTTCCTAACCCCTCTGCACGGCCTGTATTTCCAGCCAGAGCAGATATCATGCCAAATGTCAAACTGCAAAACAACATGTTGAATGTATGCTTACGCTAAAACCTAGGGGGTGTGGGGGGCCTAGGAAACCAGCCAGGTAGAGTGGCTCACATCTGTAGTCTGAGCCATGTGGGAGGCTAAGGTAGGAGACTGGGGCCAACTGGACAAGACAACAAGACCTGTCTCAAAACTATGTAAGTCAGTGGTAGAGCATGTGCCTCGTGTGTGCAGCTGGGTTTGTCATGCCTCAGCACCACACAAGACACTGGCAAACTGAATCCAGTATGTTAAAGGATTATACACGGTGAAGTCACCTTCCCCTCAACAAGGGGAAAATCAGTGTAACATACCACACTTAACAGGGTGAAGGGAAACCTTGACTTAAATTGATACAGTGAAAGTACTTAACAAAATCTAATATGCTTTCCCAATTGAAAATACAGGGGTAATGGAAGGAACTTCCTGAGAAAGACGGGGACACACACCCCAGCTGACTTCAGGGTGAAGGGCTGAAAGCTCCTTAAGACCAGGAGCAGAATGAGGAGCCCTGAGCACTGCCCTACCATGGTGCTCCCTAGCAGAGCAGCCGAGTGGAGGGAGGACAGGGGTGAAGTCTCCTGCTTGCAGATGCCACAGCTTCCAGGAAGAAACCTTAGGTGCCAGCAAAACTTGCCCGGCCAGCCTAATGGTATTCATCTGTATTCCCAGCTGCTCACAGGCTGAGTCGGGAGGAGGCAAGTTTGAGTCCAGGCTGCACAATTTAGAGATGCCCTGTCTCAAAATAAAAAGGGGCTGGGGATACAGCTTGATGGTGGAGCATGCCTGGGCTTAATCCCAGTACTGCACAAATACCCCAACCAAAACTGCACTGAGCCATCCAAGTCCATTTATAACAGCATCAAAACATTCAGGGGAGGGATTCAGAAATAATCCCCTCCAGGAGGGGAGGGGGAAAAAAAAGTACACCCAAAATTGCAAAATGTTGCTAAAAGAAACTAAAGACATGCATGGAAAACACTGGTGCTCTACTCCTGAGCTATTTTTTAGTTTTAAGTGGACACATTTTTATTTTTATGTGGTGCTGAGGATGGAACCCCCAGCCTCATGCATGCTAGGTGAGCTCTCCACCACTGAGCCCCAGCCCCAGCTGCCCAGACCTTTTTTATACTTTATTTAGAGACAGGGTCTTGCTAAATTGCTGAGGGCTGACTTTTAACTCACCATCCTCCTGCCTCAGGAACTCTACCTGGCCTGATTTAATGTTTCTAAAATGACACTACTGGGGTTGGGGCTCAGTGGTAGAGCACTCACCTAGCACGTGCAAGGCACTGGGTTCCATCCTCCGCACCACATAAAATAAGTAAAACATAGGTATTGTGTCTGGGTACAACTAAAAAAAAAATAAATAAAAATGACACTACTCAAACTTAATATAGATTTAATGTAATTCCTATCAAAATCCTAATGACTTCTTTGCAGAAATATCCATTCTAAAATTCATACAGAATCTTAAAAAAAAAAAATTCTTGAAAGAAAAACCAAGTTGGAAGACCTCCCCCTAAGTGACATCAAGACAGTGTGGAGAGGCTATGGCTCAGTAGCAGAGCACTCACCTAGCACATGCGAGGCTCTGGGTTTGATCCTCAGCACCACATAAAAATAAGTTAACAAAATAAGGATTGTGCCTGTGTATAACTAAATACGTGTGTGTGTGTGTGTATATATATATATAAAGTTTATATAAACCATATATATGACAGTGTGGAACAGGTAACCCAGAAAGGGACCTGGACATATAGCCAAATCGTCTGACAAGGGGCCAAGGCCACTCAGCTGGAAGGACAAGCCCTTTGAGGCACACAAGGAAGGTAGATGTCCATGCACTGATCTATAGACACTAGCTCTAGACGGATCCACGAGGTTAAAACTACACTCCTGGAAGAAGATGGGGACGCTCGACAGGGACTTCCTGGACGTGGCACTGAAAGCAGATAACAGCAGCAGAGTCAGGCCAACAGACCTGAGAAGCGGGCATCAGGGGCCCATCCGGAAGTGCACCAGGCACATGCTAGGCTCTGGGCTCTGACCAGCCCCAACCGGAAGGGTATGAGGAAACATGAAGGGCCAGCCATGGAGTGGGAGGGGACACCTGCAAACCACCTGACAAGAGCTTGACATGAAGAATAACAACAAAAAACCCAGCAATTTAAAGACCAGCAAGGACTGGAGAGCCACTTCTCTGATGGAGCCACACACACTACCCACAGGCACATGAGAAGGTGCTCACCACTAAAACCCAGGCGGATGTGCAACCTCTCTAACCACCCACTCTGGAGGCTGAGGCAGGAGGAGCCAGGTTCTAGGCCAACCTTGACAACTTAGCAAGACCTTGCTCAAAAAAGGAGCTGGAGATGTAGCTCAGTGGTAGAGCACCTCTGGGTTCAATCCCCAGTACCAAAAACCCACCCCAATGGGAAACTACTTTGGGGTTAAGACGGCTAGCAGCAAATGCTGGTGAGCATGTGGAGAAACTGGCATCTGAGCTGCATGTGGGAACTGCTGAAAAATTTGGCAGTCTTTCAGAAAGCTGAACAGTCACCACAGAATTCAGCACATCCACTGTGGTGGGGCTGGAAGCAGAGGCTGGGACGGCAGCACACTATGTCCACAGCAGCAGTATCCCTGGCATCTAGAACATAAGGTGCTCGTCAGACCAGTGGAGCTGCGAGGGAGTGGGCACTGACTTGTGCACAGCATGAACGGTCTGAAGATGCCTCCGAGTGCACCAGGCCTGGCTGACACCTGGCTGCCCATACCTGAGCACCCATCTCCTCCTCCTCTTCACAGCCCCCTTCCAAGAACCATAGCTGGGACTTCCCCCCACATCCACCACCTACCCACTGAGGATTCCTGAACAACTCTGCCCACTGGACCCACTCACAACTCCTTCGTGAATATCCCCCACCCTGAGCAAAACCAAGCTCATGGCCTGGCCCCCAGCCTTGGGCACCCCATCATAGTGAGAGACCCCACTTCTAAGGCTCCTTCAGCCATCCTCCCAGCCACTTGCTTCTGCCTTGCCCCCTCCCCAGATCCAAGGTCAGGCCCTGCCAACACCTAATCTTTCCTAGCCCCCACTCCTGCCCACCAACACCAAACCAAGGCAAATTCCTTGGTGTCATGCACATCTGCTGTGCCCCATCTACCTCTCCACACCACAGCAGCTCCAGATCATCCCCTCAACAGCCCCTGCCCATCTTGTTGCTGAGCTGGGGCACAAGGCTCCTAAAGTTGGTAGGGACCCCAGCCCCTGTGCTCCAGGGTCCCCTTCCTCCTCAGTATATCCTGCTGCTTTCCTTCTGAGACCTCCAAGCCCACCAGCAATGACCACCACATGTATTTCCGTTTCAGCCTAATTCTCTCCTTCCTTGGGCTGAAGTTGTGGTTCAGAGGTAGAGCTCTCGCCTAGCATGCATGAGGCACTGGGTTCAATCCTCAGCACCACATAAAAATAAAATAAAGGTATTGTGTCTGCCTATAACTAAAATAAATATTAAAAAAAAAAGATAATGCCTCCCTCAGTCATAAGGGGGTATGTGAGGAGCCATGTTGCCAATGCACTGGCTCTAGGTTTATAGTCAAAGAGAAAACAATTAAAACACCCACACCTGCCATATGTTGAAGGAATGTCAATGCAAGAAAAAATTAAAGTGCACACATCTGACTACACAGCTACAGAAAAATCTATTCTGGAAAAAGGACACCACATAACAAAATGAAAAGATTGATGAACTAGGAAAAATTATGTAACTTACATCCAAATGAAGTGGCACAGTCCCTAACACAGAATTCCCAGAAAACACCAAATTAATGGAAACTCAAGTAGAACAAAATGGAATGACTGTGCGCACATGTCTGCACATGCACACAGAGCCATGGTGCTTCTGGCTGCTGTCTGGCAAACCTGTGGCCAGGAGTTGTATAGGTGGAGTACAGTGTTGCCACTCTCTTTTAGAGGCATGGCACAGCTTCTGTGGAGGGCAGTGTATCCACGGCAAAAGCTCCATGAAGGCACTCTTGGGCCAGCAATTTGCCTCCAGAACATCTTCTGGAGCACACCTAGGCAGCTGCACAGACCAAGCCCCACTACAGCAGAACCTGCAGCACCAGTCTACACGCAAACCCCAAAGGCCATCCGCTGGAAACATGGGAAAAATTACGGTATACAATGGCGTGTTAGAAAGGGAGAAGGCAGCAAAAGACTCAGCAGAGAAAAAAAGCAATTCATGCTGGGGCTGTAGCTCAGTGATAGAGTTCTATGCTAGAATAAGTGGGTCTCTGGGTTCCATCCTCAGTACCAAAACAAATAAAAACACCCCACAACCAAATATAAGGTAATCCACAGAACAGGGGAAAAGATTTGCAAACCAAGCTGTGCACAGTGACACATGCCTCTAATGTCAATTACAAGGGAGACTGAGGCAGCAGGATCCCAAGTCTGTGGCCAGCCTGGTCAGCTCAATATAATTCCATCTACAAATAAAAAAGGGGCTGGGGATGTAACTCAGTGGTAGAGCATGTATTTAGCATGTGTAAGGCCCTGGGTTCTCTCCCCAGCACCAAAAAAAAAATAGAAAAATTAAAAATACAAACCTTGAGAACATGATGCTGAATGCAATATGTCAGACACAAAAGGACACAAATTACAGGTATGCCACCACTCACAAGGTACCTACAGTGATCAAATTCAGAGACAGCAGAATGACTGCCAGGCCTAGGTGGGGAGTTAGTGTTTGATGGGCAGTTTCTGGCTGGGAGTATGAGAAAGTCCTGGAGATGGAGGTGGTTATGGCTACACAGCAACCTGATGGACCTAATGCTGCTGAATCTGCTCACTTAAAAGTGGTTAAAATAAAGCTGCGAATGTAGCTCTTGCCTAGCACCCAAGGCCCTGAGTTCAATCCCCTGGGGGCCTGTCCTGGAAGGGTGCATCTTTCTTCAACCTTGCTTCTGCTTCCTGACCTCACCTTAGCTAAGCAGCTTTCTTCCACTGGGTACTTCCCCCATCATGTCCTACCTCACCAGGGTCCACAGTGCTAGAGTCAGCCATGTATGGACTAAGATCTCTGGAGCCATGAGCCCCCAAATAAGTTGTCTCTAAGTTGTTCTTGTAGGGCATTTTGGTTACAGTGACGAAAACGCTGATTAAGACACTGCTCCCCACCCACATGGCATTTTCCATGCCCATTCTATACAGTCTTTCTTACTTCCTGTCTACTGCCCATCCTGCACCCTACTTGCAAGGCCAGCTCCATGAGAACAAGCACTGGTATGTGCTGTTTACTTCTGCTATCCCAGCACAGGTTCTGACACACACAGGTGTTCAACAACAAATCCTTGGGTTTCTGTGTTTTCTCCCAGCAGACCCCTGGAGAAGAATGAGGAGTGTACAGGGAGGCCATCAGAACAGCCCAGGGTTTCAGTCCCCAACTGGCTTGAAGGCTTGGCCTTGTGGAGTTGAACAGAAGGCAAGTGAGGTGTCCTCACTGTCACAGGCAGCACTGTCCTGAGAACTACAAGGAAGTTCTGCGTGAGACTATTTCTAACGATCAAAAATGTAAACCACCTGAATTCCTGCAAGCCTACCAAGGTTTAGACTACCCAAACAGCAAGTGAAAAGAAAACTTAAACCCATCACCATGAAGACATACAGTGAGTAACAGCGACAACGACACATCAGCCAAATACTTCTATAGTACTACTGTTAAAAGATTTTAGAAAGAGCAAAGATCGCAAAACCTTACTACACGTTTTGTACGTGTGCACTATAGGAATGAAGGCTCGGGGACGCCTGTGGAAAGACACACACCAAAGCGCTAACAGCGCCGCCTCCAGGGAAGGGAGGGGAAGGACGAGGCCAGCGGGGAACCGAACCCCGCGCGAGAACGCTCTGGACCAGCGGACGCAGAGCCCGCGTCCGAGGCCGCCCGTCGCCATGCACTCACCAGAGAGCGGCGATGGCTCCCGCTTGGGCTGCAGGCGGTTGGTCTGGGGCAGGAACGGGTTGTTGAGCCTAGGGGGATAGCAGGTCAGGGCCGCCCGCCGCGCGCCCGCACCGCTCGCCCGCTCGCCCGCCGGGCGCTCACCCGAAGGCGTTGGGCTCCTCCACCACCTTCATCTTGGCCGCAGCCGCTGGCGCGGGCCCTGCGGGGAGGGAGGCAGTGAGCGGGCGCGGGGCGGGGCGCTCGGCCGCCGGGGACGGAGGACCACTGACCGCGCGCCGCGAGCCCGAGGAACAACAGCAGCAGAAGCAGCAGCACGCCGGCCAGCCCCGCCGCCATGGCTCCGCCGCGCGTCACATGACACCGGCGGCCCGCGTGGAGGCGGGGCCGGAAGTGGCGTCGCCCGAGCGACCGGATCGAAGCGGCGCCGGCGCGTGCGCTGTTGCTCAGGGCCGGGTGGTGTCGGCGCGGCGCGGGTCATGGGGCGCAGGAAAGCGGTTCGCGGACCGGGGGCCGAGGGTGCCCACGCGCGGCGGCGTCCGGGCCGCTCCCTGGAGGCCTTCGCCAAGGAGGTGGACGCCGCTTTGCGGGGTGAGTGCGAGGGGGAGGGAGAGGGGGGTCGGGGCGCCCTAGAGCCCGCGCTAAGGCCCAGGACGCTCTTCTCCCTGCATAGTGTCCATGGAACCCGAGGAGGACGAGGGCGGCGCGGGCCCGGCGGCGCTGCCCTGCGCTCTGGCTATGTGGGAGCTGGGCCACTGCGACCCCCGGCGTTGCACCGGCCGCAAGCTGGCCCGGCTGGGCCTGGTGCGCTGTCTGCGCCTGGGCCAGAGGTTCGGCGGCCTCGTTCTCAGCCCCATGGGCACCCAGTATGTGTCCCCCGCAGACAGGTAAGCGGGGGAGACCTGGGGACTGGGGAGGGGAAATAAGTTTTCTCCAGCTACTGCCTTAAAAGCTTGCCCAGGTAGTCCTTTGCCAGTGTCTGGGGTAAAGAAAGGACGCTCCCTATCCCTTGGGAGGCCAAGTTCCAGGGGTATACCTCACTTAGGGGGCCATCACCAAAGTGGTGCCAACCCTCAGAACTTAGCCTATACTGTTCCTGGCAGACAGCTGGTGGCACAGTCTGGGGTTGCAGTCATAGACTGCTCCTGGGCCAGGTTGGATGAGACACCCTTTGGGAAGATGCGAGGGAGCCACTTGCGGCTGCTTCCCTACCTGGTGGCTGCCAACCCTGTAAACTATGGCCGGCCCTGCAGACTTTCCTGCGTGGAAGCTTTTGCTGCTGCCTTCTGCATCGTAGGTGAGTTTCAGGCCTGTCCTGACAGCCTAGTGGCCTCTGCTCCCAGAATGGTATTTTCTCCCATCAGACCCCTGGAGAAGTGTGAGGGGTGTACAGGGAGGCCGTTAGGACAGCCCAGGGTTTCAGTCCCCAACTGGCTTGGAGGCTTGGCCTTGTGGAGTTAAACAGAAGGCAAATGAGGTGTCCTCACTGTCACAGGCAGCACTGTCCTGAGAAACTTTCTTCTCAGCATTCTCAGGGAATTTGTGGTCCAAGGAGAAGCCCAAATGGAGACCCATGAGACCTGGGGACAGACTTGATGAGAATGTTTATTTCTCAGGAGAGGAACAGGCAAGGAGATTGGGCGGGAGACAGTCAGGACTGTAGTTTGGCAACCATCAGCTCCCTGGGATGGCAGCTGCACCCAGCAGCTGGGGTGAGGAGGACACATTCCCTAGAAGGATTGCTGACATCTCTGGGTCTTGTTTCCTATGCTGTTAGGCTTTTCAGATCTTGCCGTCATCTTACTGCAGAAGTTTAAGTGGGGCAAGGGTTTCTTGGACCTGAACCGCCAACTCCTGGACACATACGCAGCCTGCAGTGGACCAGAGGAGGTGCTACAGGCAGAGCAGGAGTACCTGGCCAGTGCCAAGCATACTCCCCAGGAGGAGGAAATTGGTGAGACCTGACGTAGGTGGGTGTCCTCTGCGGGAGGCCCTCCAGACCTGCACGTTCTTCTGAAAAGCCTAGGGTCTTGAGAGCTCACTCAGAGGTCACTTTCTTTTCTTTCCTCCCTTGGTTTAGACCCCTTTGATGTGGACTCAGGGCGAGAGTTTGCAAACCTCAACAGGCCTGTGACCAGCACCGGGTAGGTCCTGACTTCTACTGCTCCTGTATGTGAGGATGGTGTCCTAAGCAACCCCTGGGTGATGACTGCAGAACACCGTGCAAGTCTGCTGGGGAGGATCTGGCCTAGAGAGGGCAGGGCCTAAGAGAAATGTGCCCTCAGCCCAGGGATGAGTGCATGAAGGGTGAGGGCTGAGTGAGGAGTGCCTTAGGTGCCACCACGAGGGGACACATTCTTCTCTTCCAGGCTGCCTACAGATACAGATGACAGCAGCGAGTCTGAAGACCAGGGGCCTGCCGAGGATGAAGGAGGCAGTAGCTGCTCTCCAGAGGAGGAGACTCCAGAACCAAGGACTGAGGCCAGGACCCCAACTGAGACTTGGAAAGACATCAAGAAACAGCAGAGAGACTGAAAATTGTAGACACCACATATATTGTTGAAGCTGTGTGATAACAAAGTCCAGGAATGTGGGGACAGCCAGGCCTGGCAGCTGTGGCCCCTGTGGCTGCTGGCAGGGTTGTGCTCCTCTCCACATGGGAACAACCTTGCTTGAGATACTCTCAATGAAACTACAGGTTGAGAAGTAGCCCCTGGTGTGAGTCTGGTTCTTTGCACTTAGCCTGGGGTTGGGGGACTGCTTGTGAGAGACTGGGCCATGGGATAAGTGATGTGGTCATGCATGTGTTGCAGGGAAGGACAGCTGACCAGCTGATGCAGAACCCCCGACTTCCCTGTCACCCTCCTATCACTGGTGACATATACCTCCTGCCAGGCCCAGGAGCCAGGTGGGGTCTGGAACCCCACATGATTTTCCACAGACTTCTCTGTTCATCTGTGGGTGAGGGCTGGCACCCTACCCTCTACTTGTCAGCCCTGGCAGCTACTGTCCTCCAAAGCTTGGGTCCTTTAAACTTGACTCAACCTGTGGGGGCCTTACTCTTTCTGGGAGAGATAGGGTAGAGCTTCCTCTGAGAGGACCCTCCAGGCTAGGGTCAGCCTGGACCCTAGCCCACCATGCCAGTTGGGGACAGACCATTCTTTGTTTGGGGGCTGACGAGTGAGTGCACTGGAGGATACTGAGCAGCATCCCTGGCCCCCACCCTCTCATACTAGTATGTCTTTTCTTGTTCTGACTACCTAGAGTGTCTCCAGACTGCCTAATGGCCATGGGGAGCAAGGTTCTGCTGAGACCAGCTACCTGCCTCCCTAGGGAGCTGCCCACCTAATGACCAGGCCCATTGTGATCTCTGCATCCAGGATGTAGCTGCTGGCCAGTCCTTCCAAGTTGGCCTGTGTTCAGGGTGGGATGTACTGGGGCACAAGGGGTTCATAGCACACACCAAAGGGACATAGCCAGGGCAGATGGAAGCCATATAGAGTCAGCTATGGCAGTTGAGGGCCTCAGTGAGGCCTGGCTGCACAATGTGGCATGTGGGGGGCAGCGGAGTGTTCAGGGGTCAGCCTCCATGCACTTCTCCAGTTCCTTGAGCTTCTTGACGAACTCTTGTGCCTCCTTATTGGTGCGACCTTCCAGCATCCTCAGTGCTGACCTCACTGCAGGTGGACAAGTGGGTGTGTGGGAGCCAGGCCCACTGCCCTGTGTCCCCACCATCACCCCACGCTCACTCACCCTGGGCTCTGGGCCGTCGCAGGTGCAGGGTGATGGGCTGCCCAGCCCTCGAGCCCGCTCCCACCTGGGGCCTCGCAATGCCACTGACACTGCCCAGGCTGAGGGCAGCCTCCCCAGCGAAGTCATTGGTGGACAGCCAGTCATGGTCCATGACAGTGAACAGCACACAGGCCCCACGGTGGCGGCATGCTTCTGCGGGCACAGAACTGCAGAGGAGGCAGTCAAGAGCCAGCCATGGACCTGTGGGCCAGGCTGGGATAGGCACAAGGGACAGGATGGGCACTCACAAGTGGAAGAGCTCATCGAACACTGGGTGCAGTGTCCGGGCCTTGACCTGGGTCCTCTGGCTGCGGACCAGTGGGAAGAGATGAGGTGGGCCCAGTTCCACGATCACGAAGGGGTCGCTCAGGCCTGTGGGGCACCGCCGTCAGCAAGCCCCCAGCCCCAGCCCCCACCCAGCCACCACTGCACCTCACCATTGGCGTCCAAGGGGAGCAGGTCTGCGGCATGCAGCACCTCCACGGCCAGCCGCTGCTCGGCTGCCTCATAATGGCAGCGGACACTCAGGCGGCCAAACCGGTTCTGCTCCAGCGACCTCTGTGGGAAAGGCCCGTAAGCAGGGCTAGGGAGCCAGGCAAAGGCCACACAGATGGCTGCCATCCTACCTGCTTGAGCTTGTCCAGGTAGAACTGCTCAATGCATTCCCGGGTGGAGCACTTGTGCAGACGCAGCTCTTCCTCCAGCCTCTGTGAGGAGGGGTGCTGGTGACTGGCCACATAGGCCACTGCCCTCATGGCCCCCTGGCTTCATGCGCTAGGACAGGGCCTACTGTGAGGCAGTAGGCTGAATGTGGTGGCCCCCAGAGGGGTTGGGCCTCACCTTGTAGCTTCCATCCCTCAGGCTCTCCAGGGGCAGGCCCTGGCCCTCAGCATGGAAAAAACTGACAAGAGCCTGGGGCGGAGAAAAAAGAGGGAGATACATCAGGGGGTCTGGCCTGATTGGGGTGTGGAGCCCCAGTAGGTGGGTCTTGGGCACCTTGGCAGAGCCACTCATCACACCTGGGATGGATAAGAAGTTCCAGGAGACCAGGGGAAATGCCAGCATCTGAGGCCAGACTCTGTTGTAACAGGTGGCCCAGGTGCTGCTAGGCAGCTAGGCTGTGGGGAGGAAGTGCTGCCTAGCAGGGAACAGGAGAAGCCAGGCAGAGGCTGGGTGTCCCAGCAGGGGCCCAATCAGAGGAAGGCCCTGGGGAGCTCCTCATGGCCCTACCTCCAATGTGAAGTGGAAGCGCCCGTAGAAGTCCGCAGAGACATCACTGTTGGCGCCCAGCGCCTGCAGAATGGCCTGCAGCAGCAGCTCCCAGAGGGCCTCCAGCACCCTGCAGGCACACAGCCTAGATGAGTACCTGGAATGCCCCACCCCACCTGCCCAACCTGCCCACCTGCCCAGCAAACC